GTGGGTTCTCATATGTGCTGTGCACAAAGCAAAGGGCAGAGCTGCTAAGTTTTATTTTTGAAGTATGAATGATTAAGGAACAAGCATGACCTTTACTAGAAATACTACTGTACAATTTCATACACACAAACTATGTTCACTGCATTCAAAAATGAATTTCATAAACTCTTCCACTAATTCAAGTATTAGAATTATATTGAAAGGAACAACGAAAGGCATAATTACTATAACACAATTCAAAAATGTTTTTTATATTCACCTTGAGATAAATCCATGCATTTTAAATAGGGACATGAGATGACTCATAATTTGGTGATGTACAAGAAAATCTTGTAGATCGATGATGAGGAAAAACAAAGGTTCCTGGAAGCTGGAGGGTTCTATGGTTTTCTAAGATTCAATCTGAGGCTCTCCTCAAATGAAAATATTCTCAAATGACATGAATATTTTACCTCAATGTGCTTCTAAGTCTATATAATTAAAAGAACAATGTGTGTCAAACTGTCAATCAGTGTATGCGTGTTTACTGAAAAATCAATATTCCTATTGCTTAATTAATTGTACAGTGGTACTTTTACGTTTATACGAGTGCAAAAGTGAATGACGTGCATTGTTTTATACGAGCGTAAAACTACGACGTTTATAACATTAACTTTAAAGGCGGTTACTTCAGTAACATAAACAAACACTCAACTAAATACATTAAGTTAATTCTTTACCCTTCTGTGGCTTATAAATAACGGAATACCATTACATCTGATTACAAATTCCAACATGGGCCTAAAAATCGACAATTACGCTTAAAGTTTAAATCCTAGCGGGAAAATTTTTGTTTCATTTGAACTTCGTGTATAATTGTCGATTTTTAGGCGCCTGTATTAAATAAAACGTATAATAGTTATTAAGTAGTGTTTTTATCATCAGAAACCTGTTTAACTCAAAAATACGAAACAAGATGTATAAACATTTAGAAAATTAAAAACCTGCAAATAGAGATGGTACAAAAAGTTAAACAATGCTGGAGATGCTGTAGACATTATTTACTCAAACTACAAACCCTTATTTTGGCTTCATGCTATTACCTACGAATCTTCCTAACATCTGAAACCGGTTATTGTTTTCTTTTTCTTTAGCACAATTTGTAGAGTGTCGAATAAGAAGGAAGCTGATGCAGTGACTATTAAGGCTAAATGTCGTAGATTATATCGCTGGTAAACTCGTGTTTCATGTACGAATAAAATATTGCTTTATTTCCGTTATTGGCGGTAGGGGACCTGACGCTTTGCTAATACTATAGGGAAGACTGAAAAAAGAGTTGATACTATTATGAAAGGGGGAAAGAAAAATAAGATAAATAGCGAGAAACACAGACAGTTGGTTTTTACACGTCCCGATACCATAACTTTAACAAAAATCACTATTTTATAACGTCGCTTTATCAAGAGTTCAATTTTTTAAAAATCTCAAAATCTTTGTCAAAGATGGTTATACAAAATGTTGTGTACAGAAAAAAATTCGGTTATACTAATTCTATGTTTTACTCTTCTTTACTTAAATACAACTCCATGTTCTGCTTAGTATATTTTTGTTTCACGTATGTTCAGCCACATAATACAATAACAGCATTATTTAAAAAATGTATTTATTTAAAACATATACCCTTGTCATAAATATATATGTATAGTATTCCACTTAAATACTGTATACGTGAAAAAGAATCTTTGGACTTTGGCCTTTATGGCCCAGTCCCATCTATTTCCATTTTTAGTCAAATAATGTCATTACATACATGGTACTTGAAGCACGGGGTTATCCCTTAGTTGTTCAAGAAAATATTAAAGGCAAGAACAAGAGAGACAAAAGCTTTTAGGTATAAAAGCAAACCTTTTCTAAATCTTAGAAAAAAAAAATACTTTTACTCTTTCTGAATATAGTCAAATACGAATTTATACTTATTTAAATTCTACACCTCATAAATATGGGTTACTAATTAACAGGTTCCCCAGTGGCACAGCGGCATGTCTGCGGACTTACAACGCTAGAAACCGGGTTTTGATACCCGTGGTGGGCAGAGAACAGATAACCCATTGTGTAGTTTTGTGCTTAATTCCAAACAAACAAACTGATCAACAGTGGTTAAAAAACTCAATTTCCCAAAAAATTAAATGTATCGTCATAAATACATAATTTTAAAATGTTGTACAATGTACAAGGTAAAACTTCAGTTTTTGACCAAAAATCAAATAAATGATGAAAATTAGATTTCTCCCTGCCTCGCAACTGTACCCCGATAGAACAGCGGTATGTTGTTTACGGACTTACAGCGCTAAAATCCGCACTGCCTACTTATTAAGTCATTGTCTTAGGGACAAAATGTTTAGGAATGATAAACTGCCTACTTAATGTGTCATTGCTTTTGGGACAAATGTTTAAGAGTGGTAAACTACTTATTTCTGAGTCATTGCTTTAGGGATAAAATGTTTAAGAGAGATAAATTACTTACTTACCGAGTCATTGCTTTAGGGACTAAATGTTTAGGAGTGATAATCTGCCTACTTAATGAGTCATTGCTTTTTGGACAACTGTTTAGAAGTGATAAGTTACCTACTTACTGATTCATTGCTTTAAGGACAAAACGTTTAGGAGTGATATTCTGCCTATTTAATGAGTCATTGCTTTTTGGACAAATGTTTAGGAGTGATAAGTTACCTAATTACTGATTCATTGCTTTAAGGACAAAATGTTTAGGAGTGATAAGAAGCTTCCTGTTTGACCAAAATTGTAGGTAAGACTACTTAGTACCTTAACCAACAAAGGTTTTGAGAAACACGTGATGACTAGTAATAGCTTCTATACCTGTAATTGGTCGACAGGGAAAGTGGAGATACGCTAATACAGCATCCAAAAAATAATACAGTATTTGTAGTGCACGGCACACAGTTTTAAGTTCGTAGTGAACTTTCAGTACCACGTACTATTAATGCTACGCCCCTGATTTTAAGTTATATATTTAGAGAGCTTAGATTTTAGCCATATTTGCAGTACTTTTGTGGAAAGATTTGAAACACTTTTAATAGAAATAGCGTTTCGAGTTTTAGTTGTTATCAAATTCATTTGACTAAATCTACGCTCACGTTCAGCCACAGAAACTGAAATGATACGAAATATTTTTTTTTAATTTCGAAGATTTTCATCTATGACTTTACCCCAGTTTCTTTGAATTCTCAAAATGTACGGATAAATCGTGGAGTTTCAAGACAAACTCGCTTGCAAAGAGAGGTCATTTCTTCCTCTTCACAGCTAATGGAGACTTTATCTGGCCAAGATTTCTTGTGAGGAGCTTCAACATCTGCAATTAAAGAACGGCATTCGTTCTGTTCTGGAGTTTCAACTGAATTTTTATTCTTTTATTTTGTTGAGATGATCCGATTTATAGAAGTCAACTTTTTAGAATTTTCGTTAGCTTCTCTAAAATATTTCTTTACAAATTTCATAGTTACATGTCCGTCCTTCGTGGATTTTCACATACAAAATTCTTCTAGCTTTTCACCTTCGAAAAACGTTTTGCTCATCGCACCTGGTTTACCAATCATATTTTCAAATACCTTTACTTGGTGACAAATTGAACGGTGAGAATTCACTAATAAGACTTCTCGTTGTTGGAGTTCCATAGACAGTTCACTCATTTCCTGAACAATATCATACATAATACAAAGATTTTCATGAATTTCTCTGAAGAGATTCGTAATTTCAATCCACTACAAATTCCCCATTGTTTTGACTCTCTTGAGGTGTTTTCTGAAGTTTCAGAAAAATGCTTGTATATTTCAGCATAGGAGTTCCAGATAACTTTCACGGCATTGAAACTGGAAGCCACCCACTTTGTGCTGAGCACCCTTCCTACTTCTTTTAAAATCATTTATTTTTTCCACGGGCAGTCAGGTGATATCTTGTGTTTCAGTCTGAAGTTAACGCGTTAAGTAAGAGGGATGACATTTATTCTGTCTGGAACATAACACAATCTTAACAGAATTAGTCTTCCATAACAGAATCTCAACAGAGTTAATCTTCCATAGCACCTCATCCGAGTAAGTTAGAATGATTTCAGACTTAACTCTCCATTAAAGGCGACTGTCTATTTTGTCAAGTAACATATGTTTGCGCTTTGTTTGTTTCAATAAATATTGTTTATTGTGATTGTACATTTGTATCCAGTCTCGTGAAATCAGTTAGTTAGAGAATACAAAATTCTTACGCATTGAATAATTTTATGAATCTTACATTATTCTGTAAACCTGTCTTGTCATTCTTAGGGGAAATCAATGCTATTTGAAAATACCATATAGAAATAACCGAGATTTTAATATCATCAACAAACTTTACAAATTTCTTTTTCAATATAATTAATGTGAATAAGAAAAGCAAAGGCCCAAGCACTGACACTACAAGTACCAAAGGTACATTTCGACTCATTAATAACAACATTTCTGCTTTCTCTCGCTCAATCACTGTACAGTCTAATTAACCAGTCTTTACTCAGTTTTCCCTGACTCGATTCTATTGGTTAATCTTTTGTGTGGCACCTCATCTAAGTACACAAAGTCCACCAACACACACCCTTTCCATCTTCCATGAACATGGTTGTTTAAAAATTACCTTTTTTGAAATTTAGATGACATTCAAATTCAGACTGATATAATAATTGACACCTACCTTATTTTCTTTTGTATATCTGCTTATCTCTGCCCGTCCCACCAAACATGCTCGCCCTTTCAGCCGTGGGGGCGTTATAATGTGACGGTCAATCCCACTATTCGTTGGTAAAAGAGTAGCCCAAGATTTGGCGGTGGGTGGTGATGACTAGCTGCCTTCCCTCTAGTCTTACACTGCTAAATTAGGGACGGCTAGCGCAGATAGCCCTCGTGTAGCTTTGCGCGAAATTCAAAACAAACAAACAAACAAAGCTTATCTCTGAATGAATAAACAAGTGAATTAATACAATGCACTTGAGTTAAAGATTTAGTATTTTTTTCTTACATTCTTGTGGTGCACAGAGAAATTTATATTACATTAAAGCAAATTGTAGCTTTGTGAAATTTCTGTAAAATACATTTTTTTTTGAAGAATAAATATTAAAAATCCTGTTATTGCTGTCAAAATTTTACTTATATATGTATTTCAGTTTCCATTATAAAAATACTTTTTTTCATTTACTCTATTGCAATGATAAGGAGTGGATATAAGATTTTTTTAAATTACTTACTAATAGTTTTAGTTTAGTTTAGAGAATGGGACAGCCGAGATGGACCAATAGGTCCCATGTAGTCTCAAAATATTATATTTGTTGTTCTTCTTCATCGGAATTCGGTCCATGTTTTGGACCAGGGAGGGTCAGGTTCAGAGTAGACCTCTTCCTCCCTCTCAGGAGTTGTTATTTTGTTTGTACCCTTACTGAATCCCAGGTAATAACCTTTGTTATGTTGTTGTTGCATTACTCAAAGTATGTTAGATTTTGTCCATTGTTCGCAGTTTTAATTAACATACCCTTTAGTTGGTCCCCCAGAGGCACAGCGGTATGTCTGCGACCTTATAATGCTAGAAACCGGGTTTCGATACCAGTGGTAGGAAGAGCACAGATAGCCCTTGTGTAGCTTTGTGCATAATTAAAACCAAACCAAACCAAAACCCTTTAGTTGAAAATAAGTTGTTCTTCTTCATCGGGATTCTAAATAAAATCCGGGTTTCGATTTCCCACGGTGGACAGAGCGCAAATCATCAGTCGTGTAGCTTTGCTCTAAAAACAAA